GAAACTGCAATTAAGCCTATACAGTAGCGGAACCCAATCCCGAACCAGTCCCCGAATCAACCCATCGACACCAAGAGGCCAGCATCCATCCCACTCCGATTCCAACCGAACTTTTCTAACACCACTAGACAAGGTCGATAGAACCTCCCCCGTCGCCTAACACCACTAGATGACGGGGATTGGAGTAAGAGAGAACAACCCTCTCCCGACCACCGCGACCACCCAACGAGCGACGCAGTAACCAGGGCCCGCCCCACCCAACGATTTGCACTCCTCCCATCACCACTACCACAGACAATCAGCCCGGCCCCACTAGACGAGGTGAGGCGCCGCCGGCACAGACAATTGACCTGCACAGACGGAGGGAGGAAAAGGAAAAGGACGGGTCTTACCATCGCCGATCTCAGCTCCTCCGGTGACTGTAAAGAAGATTCCAATCGCCGGCCGTGCTTCCATCGCGAGGTGTACCGCCACCGTCCGGAGCGCCATTGACGACCACGAACTTATTTCCCCTTCACTGGACCATCAGTGGTTGGGATAGGGGTGCTCCTCGCCAGGGGGCCGCGAACAGGTGAGGATGACCCTTAGCCGAGCAGTACCGACGCCGAGGAAGGCAGATGTGCCGGAAATTCGAGGGCTGAGAAGCTAGGGTTCCGCCGCGAGGATTTGGGATATTTTCGCCGGAGAGATTGTGGTCTTACATTACAAACTCTTAAATAATATATTGTTTCTCAATAGAAAAAAAAAATGTATGAACTATTACTTATAACTAACATTTGACTAGTTATTTAGTACGCTTCGGGAATTTTCACAATATAGCATACTGTTGAATGTATATTCTATCACAATATTCTACGTGTTAGGTCTTTGTCTCATTTGTTTTTTATTAGCCGTTCTGATTGACTTAAATATTTTGCGGTGAAATATAATAAAATATGTTGATAATTATTTATCAAAATAACAATAATACATTATAACTCATAAAGTAGAATACCAAAATTGTAATATACAAGGAATCATGGGACATATTCCTCGTTCTAAAAACATATACACTACCCAGCCCAAGTTAAACGGGCTAGCCCTAGCGGTTTTCGGGCTAGCCCGTAAATGGTCCGGGCCTAAAAAACCCGGATTTAAACGGGCTGCCAATAAAAGGTCCTAACCCTATTTTTTTCCGGGCTAAATGGACCGGCCCGTCGGGCCAAGGACCATTTAACATCTCTATAGGTGAGTGTAAGGAAAAAATTAAGTCATTCAGTTAAATTTAATTTAATTTCAAGACATTGAGTCCCAAAATAAGTGCATAAGTGACAATGTCATAATAGCCAATGAAGGTCTCCATTTCCTGAACAGGCACAGAACAGACAAGCATGCATACATGGCCTTAAAACTTGATATGATGAAGGCATTTGATAGGATTGAATGGAGCAGTATTAGACTAACAATGCTTCAGATGGGTTTTGCTGCTCAGTTTGTGAAATGGATTATGGAGTGTGTGACTACTGTATCATATTCTTTTATTATCAATGGCTGCACAAGTGGTTACATAAATGCTGAGAGGGGGATTAGGCAGGGAGACCCTCTGTCTCCCTACCTTTTCATTATTGTCTCTGAGGTTTTATCTGCAGTTATTAATGCTGAGAAGGAGAGAGGTCTTTTTAGAGGAGTTGCTGTGGCTAGAGGGGCTCCTATGCTTACCCACCTTCTGTTTGCAGATGATTCACTAATCTTCTGCAAGGCTGACAGATACCAAAGCCTGGTCCTTCAATCTATTCTTCACAGATACCAGAGGTTCTCGGGCCAAAAAGTGAATGTGGCCAAGTCATCTGTTTTTTTTCAGCAAAAACACAAGCATGGCTGCTCAAACTGAAGTGTGTCTTGTATTTCCAGGCATCCAAATTCCGAAATCTACCAGATACTTGGGATTACCTTTGGGCATAGGTCAGTCTAAGAAGGAAGTTTTCAGCTTTGTGACTGATGCTGTTAAAAAGAGACTGATCAGCTGGAAAAACAAACATCTCTCCACAGCTGGAAAAGAAGTTCTCTTAAAAGCAGTGCTTACAGCTCTACCACTGTCTGTCATGACTTGCTTCAGACTGCCTCTGAGTATTTGCAAAGAAATTGCTAGTCTTTTTGCCTCTTTCTGGTGGAGCAAAGGTGCTGATCACTCCAGAGGAATTCACTGGAAAAGGTGGGATCTACTGACACTTTCCAAACAGCAAGGTGGGTTAGGCTTCAAGGATGTTAAAATCTTTAATGAAGCAATGCTAGTGAAGCAGCTCTGGAGGACTCTTACCCAACCACAGCTTCTGATGAGCAAAATACTGAAAAGCAGGTATTTCCCCACATCTTCACTCTTCACTGCAGAATTGAAGCAAAACTCATCCTGGATATGGAGATCTTTGTGGAAAGTGAGGGAGCTTCTGAAGGAGGGGTTACAGATTGAAGTCAGAAATGGTGCAACTGTTAGACTACAAGACTTCAACTAGATCCCTGGCATAAAAGGAAGGAGCATCCATCTCAAGGACCCTCCTGCTAGTGAGAAGCTTTGGGTCAAAGATTTAATTCAAACTGATAATGGCCAATAGGATGAACTCAGATTGAGAGAGCTGATAGAGGAAGATGACTGTAGAGAAATCCTCAAAATCCAAACACTTGACCCTCTTCTCGATGATAAATGGAGCTGGAAGATGGGGGTGAAGGGTAGATTCTCAGTTGCCTCCTCTTATCACTACCTTCACCAAAGGAAAATTCTTTCTCTGGATTTGCCAGAAGGCAGCAGTACATCAAAAAGAAATGCAGGGGTCAGGCAAAGAACATGGAATCTACATGTCAAAGGCAAGTTGAAGCACTTTTTGTGGAAATGCTTGAATGATATTCTACCAGTCAACACCAATCTGAGGAGCAAAGGAGCTGATGTTGATGTAAGGTGCAAATGTTGTGGAGAGGCTGCTGAAACAGTAGAACATGTTCTTCTGGAATGTCCAAAAGCTCAGAATGTTTGGCAGAGGTCATAGGTTACATGGGATGGGATTCCACTGCAGGGATGTAGCTTCAAAGATTGGTGGGGCACTATATGCAATGTCAAGCACACTGAGGTGAATGAAGCAAGAATAGAGCTTACTACATACATATTGTGGTGGCTCTGGAAATCGCGAAATCTTTGGGTCTTCGAAGGAGTCTGGAGGCATGAGAGAGGTATCTTATTGGGTGCGTGGGAAGAATGGCAAGAAACAGTTACCTGCGGCAACAAAAGAGCTCATCCGAGGCATGGAAGACTAGTTAGGTCTACTTAGTTAGTTCAGTGGCTAGTTTTTTCTTTCCTATTATGATGTTGTGTAGTATCTGTTTATTTGTCCCTTGGAACACTAGAGGGCTCAGTTTGTTCACACTGCCTTTAGTGTTGTTAGTATTTCTGTGTATTTAGCCCACTACCTGTGGTGGTGCTCCCTGGCCTAGCCTTCGGCATAAGTGTAATGCTTCTCTTGTACTTGAATATTTATTCTGATTAATAGAGATTTTCCTATCGTTTTGAAAAAAANGTTGAACACAAGTTTTACGTCAATGTCAAGTACACTAATTTGACATGTATTAGACATTGTCAATTATATTATGCCATGTGACATGAATTTTTCAATGTGAAGGGTGGAGATCAAAGAAAACCTCAAGGTTTGAATTTTTAAACCTCATTTTAAACTCACTATTAAAGATGCTCTAATTTACTTCACATCATCTATTCCTATTTTTACTTCAAATTAGTTGTAATTATTTACTATAAATTCAAAATTCCACTAACAACTAAATATACCATTTTTTTTTTTAAAAAACTGACCATGGTTAAAAAAAAAAACTTGTTTCGAGCAGATGTATTTATCTCCAAGCACGCCCTAAGCCTTGCAATAATACAAGAAGTTCATGTCTTAGTTTGTAACTGGTTTTACCTTGTGCATTTGCACGAAAAGCAATATAATAGAAGAGAAAGTAATTAAAAATATAGAATAAAATAAAAATTATACAACAAAAGAAATAATTTAAAAAAACGAATCTAAATATTACTAAACACTTCTCCATATGCAACCGTCGTGGTTTTTCTATCGTCAGATTCCCCGTCACAACAAATCATTATTATTAAACTTCTTCGACTCGTGACTCTGGAATTTGATTTTTCAAAATATTTGATGTATCTTTGTAATATCCAAAAAAATATTTTTTATTATTGTATGATTCAATAGAAAATAGAGATATTTGTAGTCATTCTTAATTAATTGTGAAATATATATTTATATAATACCAAAAAATATATAGTCTCAATATAAAAACAAAAATATTTTGTATTTCAGGACATAAAAAAGACGTTACAGAAATACCATCCAAAATGGGTCATGTCAAAATAAATTGTGTAACGAAAAGTTACATATTGTTATTAAATGGTGAACATATTTTTATTAAATGAACACCTATTTTTATCAAATTAACTCATATTATTATTAATTGCTGGCTGAATAAAATTTATTGAAGCTTGCCAACNTAGACAAATATTTGATTTATATTGTTACAAAATTTAAAGTTTGTAATTAAAATTGCAATTAACCCTACTTAAATAGTTTGTTGAATAATAAATAATGGCAAAATAGCTCGTCATATCACGACCTTTTCTCAAATTGCTAAAACATCACGACCTTTGAACCTTGGTGGAGAATATCACAACCTTTGATATATTTGCAGAACGATACCCAACAGTCGGAGACCGGCCATCGGTGCTTACGTGTCCGACGTTAATTTATGACATGGAATTAAAAAAAAGGACGCGGAAATGATTTTCCACGTGTGCAATGACATGGGACGGACTATAAATACCGAAAAAACAGATGAAATCGATCAAAAATTGAAGAACCCCTAATTTTCAAAATCCCTAATTTTATAGCAAGAACCTAATTTTTTCCAAGACCCTTAATTTCTCCCGACGAAATTGCAGCGCAATCATCTGATTTTGAAGCTCCATGTCAAGCGACTCCACGAACTCGTCTTGGAAGACATTTTCTGGCCGAAAATTTCGAAGGTCCGACTGCACCAAACCGACATGCCGCCATGGCGCTGAAGCTGAACTACTAACATCTCAAACAGAGACAAACCCAACAAGAAGATTCTACCGCTTCAATCTACGAAATGTGAGTTCTTGTGTTGCTTTGTTTGTTT